ACCCCCTCTCTTCTTGTGAATCAGGTCTTCTTCCTCCATGAATCCCCGGATCTTTGCTGAATGCTTAAGTAGCTAGGTTGATCAGGGGCCTTTCGGGGAAAACAGACAAATGTTTGAATACTCTGCCCAACTAGAGGCTCGTGCATGAGAAGTCACCGAGGATAGAGGCTGGGCTACCTGTGATGACAGACCGAATGCCTTGGTCCTCCCACCTGGCTTTGTGCCAACCCCTCGTGGAGCGGCAAGACCCACATACCCATCCTCCCACACCGTCGAACTCTCCTTTTCTGCTGGGCTCCTTGAGCTGGATCCAAATAAGTTAAATACATGCTTTCTCTGAGGTTCGACTTTACTGGTGTTTTGGGGGTGGTTTTTGGTGGAGGTTTGGAGTACTGGGGATTGAACTCAGATCATTTCTATTGACATACATCCCCAGTGCTTTATTTTTATTATATTATTTATTTATTATTATTTTTTGGTACTGGGGATCCAACTCAGGACCTTGCGCTTCTGAGGCAGGGGAAGTGACTCTGAGCTAAATCCCCAGCCCCTCAGTGCTTTTTAATTTTTGAGACAGATCCTTACTGAATAGCTACGTTGCCCAGGCTGTGTTTGAACTTGAGGTTCTCCTGCCTCAGACTCCTAGAGTGCCTGGAAGTACAAATGTGCTTACCATACTCAGCTATTTTACAGGTCTTGAAGTAATTAAATGAGTCTCAGAAACTGTGGACTGTATACATTCAACTGGGGAAAATCTCATCTTTGATTTTTAGGAATTTCAAGAAAGTACCTTTGTGGTGTCACAGGGCCCAGGCAGGACCAGAAGGCAGTCCCAAAGCTGTGTGTGATCTCAGACACATAGTCTTTCTTCACAGTTCTAGGGACAGTTCTGCGACTGTGGGCTAAGCAGATAAAATCTTGTTTACAGTTTGGAAAGCCAGGGAGAGATTAAGACATTTAATTAGAACTCAGTGTACTGTATTGTCATTTCATAGCATTATTTTGGGTGATGGAATGTCTTTTCTGTTACAATAGTCTTACAAAGATCATTATGATCAAGAAAAAGTCTTCCTTAATGGACTTTCTCCTGGGACTAGAGGATGATACCAAAACCAGAGCCTTCTGGTATCTCTTGGGAAGGACAGCAGGTGAGCTACTCTGGAGCCTTAAGAGAAGACATTAACTTCAGAACCTGCCACAGCCTGCTCCTCAGCATCAAATCTCCAGAATTTGGTTTTGTGAACATTCCAGAAAAGACATGGTATTGGCAAACAAATTCATATGATCTATGCTACCAAGAACTTATCTAAAAACCAAAATCCGTGCATGGATTTGTTTGTTTATCAAACTTTCACTGACACTGGGCCTGGGCATGGTCAGATCCTAGGTTCTAGATGTGATGAACAAAACAGGCTTGGTCCTGGCTCTTACAGAACTTACTGACAGTCTGGCAGCGATGGCAAACCTATTAGAGGCCAAGTGCCCAAAATGCAAAACCCCCTATTTATTGCAAAGAGCCAACACTGTAATTAAACCTGAATGTTCAGCTGCTGGGGAAATTCTGGGGCAACTTGGTTCTAGCCAGAGAGGCCTCTGTGTGCCTTCTGTAGCACTTGTGCCACGGTTCGCCACCACTGATCTATTGGGAGAAACACAAAAACAGGTCATTCCAAACTGGCAAGATTAGTGTTAAAGTGGGGGACAGAATGGACAGAATGCTATGCTATGGAAACAACTAGGATACACCTGGAGGAAGTGTCATTTTAACACGAGGGACAGCAGGGAAGGGAAGGAGCCAGTGTGAAGGAAGAGTGCCACAAGAGAAGGAGGGAAAAGTTGTTAGAGTACGGCCTCCAAGAAATAAAGCTAACCTTAAATTAGAACACAAAGGGAAGACTGGCCTGGGGCAGGAAGAGCCTCCTTCCTAAGCTTGGAGGAAAGGAGGTGAGGATGGCCTGGGCCACACAGGATTACAGCATGGCTGCTTGTACCATCTATTTGGAGACCAGGGCTTAGGAGAGAGACCGACTCTAAGAGTGAGGAAGACATCCTGCTGCTCAAGCTTTGACAAAGACTATATAAGAAAAAAAAAAAAGACCACACTAGGTACTTGGGGAGGATGAGAAGTATACTCTAATGAGGAAGTAGAGGTGGTTCACCTTCAAGCACTAGGAGTGCATTAGAGGTGGGCCACTGTGACGCTGGGCTTCAGGGCTGAGGGCCCTCCCGCACTGCCCACAACTCTAGAGAAGGCGTAGAAACGTCAGGATGGCAAATTCACCAGGGTCATAGTTTCAGCAACCTGGCACCACTGAATGCACAGACCATGGGGCTAGAAGAGACGCAAGTGAGGAGCAAAGGGTATGACAGAGGGAAAATCCTGCTCCTGGTTCCTCCTATCAGAGTTGTCACCGAGCATCCACCACTGAAGTCAGAAGCCAGGGTACCATTCTCCATGCTCCTTCAAACCTCAGTCCGTTATCAAGAAGTATCAGGTTCACAGCCATCTACCTACCTCTTTAGCTCATCTACTGCTTTTTTCCTTTGCCCTGGGCCCTCTGCTCAGCTTTCCCAGAACTCTGAATTCCATGACCATAGGACAGCTCACATTGTGTCAGAATTGTTTCAGAGGTGGAGTTCAGTGAAGCTGCAAGGAACAGTGTTCCAGTGGCACAGTGCAAAACTCCTTTTACCTATCAGGAAAGAAGAGTGCTGCTGTGGGAAACCATGGGGACACTGCTTCACCAGCTCTTTCATTATTTTCATTATTCAGTACTGGGGATGGAACCCAGGGCCTTTGCACTGTGCTACATCCCCAGATTTTAAATTTTTTAAATTTCGAGACAGGGTCTCACTAAATTACTAAGTTGCCCAGGATGGACTTGCCCATGTGCAACCACGCCCATCTAGCAAAGTATAATTGTAACCCCTCAGTGATGTCTACCTATATGTGTGTGCACTGTCTAATTCTTTCCACTTATCTGTATGTTTGGAAATTTTTGTAAGAAGAATGGAAAAATTTCAAGATAACAAAGTTGGAGTACATGAATCACTACTTTGACTTTGACACTTTTGGGGGGGTAATTATTTTTGATACAGTTTTTAATGGATTTTATAAAATCGAGGTAGGACCGGGCATGGGTGATGCCCAATCTCAGCACTTGTAAGGCTGAGGCGGGAGGATTATTGCGTGTTCAAGGCCAGCCTGGGCTACATAGTGTGTCCAAGGCCAGGCTAAACTACACAGCAAGACTCTTTCTCAAAAAAAAAAAAAAGCAAGAGATAACAGCCAGCCAAGTTGCTCAAGCAACTTATAAAACCAGCAGTAAGCAAGGCTGAGGAGGAGGATCGCAAATTGGAGCCAAGAGCAACTGAATGAGAACTTGCCTCAATAAAAATAGGATGTAGTTCAGTGTGAAGACCTTGGGTTCAATCCTCAGTACGGGGCGCGGGTTGTTGTTGTTGGTGGTGGTGGTGGTAGTGAGGTAGAGGTAAATGAATTAAGAATGTAAAGTACACCCCCAAAATATTAAGTATATTAATGGTGCTACCTAAATCAATTCCACTGAGGGCTTTCAGACTATTTTCTTCTTTTTTGTAACGGGGAATGAACTCAGGACTTTGCGCTTATGAGGCAGCAGGTGGCACCACTGAGCTAAACCCTCGGGCCCTTCTTTCTTTCTTTTTGTACCGGGGGTTGAACTCAGGACCTTGAGTTTACGAGGCAGACGCAGTGACACTGAGCTAAATCCCCAGCGCATCAGCCTGTTTTTATTTTTGCTGCTGTATGAACTTATACCTGTAATATCTTTTTTTTGTTTTGTTTTGTTTTTTGAGACAAAGTAGTCCAGACTAGCCTCAGACTTTGTATGCAATTTTTGTCCCTATGCCTCACTTTGCTTGTTTCTAAACGGTGAGACTAAGACTCCAAGCTCTCTTTCAATTCTCGTTGTGCCTAGAGAGATCTCCTTCACCATACGATTCCCCGCCCCAAAAGCCTTTACATAAAACTACATTTCCCAAGAGCGAGCGCCAATAGGCGCCGATGTCGCGCAGTACTTCGTAATTCCTCCGCGCCCTTTATACTCATTTCCGCCGACAAGCCACTTCCTTTCTTTTCGGGGGCGCGCGGTGGCAAGATGGCGGTACAGATTTCCAAAAAGAGGAAGGTGAGCCTATGGGCCCGAAACCCAGAGAACTGCGGCGCCGTTCGGGGCCAGAGCTTCTCGAGGGTGCTACGGCGAGACCTGAAGCTCCGTGCCTTGCGCCAGGGAAATGTTAAAGCGTAGAGTTCTTGGGCGCCGCGGATGGCGATGGATTAAGTGCGAGGCCCGCGCCTGGCGAGCACAGTATCGCCGTGGAAAGGGGTGTATGAAGCTGTCCGGTTCCGCCTTATTTATTCTGGTGAAGGCAGTTGGAAGCATTCCCTAATTAACACAGTCAAGTACACGTGTAGTATGAGGCTTGAGCCATCAGAGTCTATTAACATGGCTTGGGAAGGGGGAGTGCAGCCTTTGACTTCCGAGGCCTCAGGTGATTGCATGCTCCTCTGGGGAAGAAGCTTTTTCGGTTTTAGCTGCTTGTTATTCCGTGGGAGAGAACTGTGTAGAAGATATCAGCTTTATTTTATTTCTTTAAGAGCAGAAAAAACTTAACTGAATTTCTAAGATAAAAGGGAGACTGGAAGGTGGGTTGCCCTGAAAATACTAACTTTAAAAAATAGTTTGTCATTTTGTGTGTGTGTATGTGTGTATCTCGGTGTTCTTAACAGGACTTGAGCTAGAATTTGCCAACCCAGTCCACAGGAACATTACGGCAAAATAACTGGGATTCTTGTGATTGTCTAATAATCTGAAGGTTGTATTTACAAGTGAGAATGGTCTATTCTTTCATTCTGGTTCTTTGACAAGTTATATTGTCTTTTTGTACTAAGCGAAGTGTCAATGTGCCTCTTTAGAGTAGCTTTTCGTATGGCATGTGTAAATAAAAAAATGTAAACCCTTCAATGAAGAGATGATGACGAGTCTGACTTGGAAGCCTTATCTTTGCCCATGTGGCCTTACTCTGTGCTGCGTTCTGTGACACAGTTAAGAGTCCTGGTTGAAGAAACTTCCTAAAGATGACCTAGAGGCATTTGTCTGAGAAGGGTTGCTGCATTCCTGTTGGAATGGGTATTGGAGCAATTGGTGGGATTGTTGGAGGTGTCATGAGTTTTAATGAGGTATGGGGGGGGGAGTAAGTCTGCAGGATTGTCCCCTTTTTTGTTTGTTGTAGTTTTTGAGACTGTCTCACTAGGTGGTCTCTAACTGGTGAACTCTTGATCTTCCTGCCTCAGGCTCATGAGTGCTGGGATTACAGGTTTGTGCCACTACACCAGTTCCGAGTCTTATTTTTGAACTTTTTGTTTTGTTTTATTTCGGTTAGTTTGTCGCAGATGGCATCTTCAAAGCTGAACTGAATGAGTTTCTTACTCGGGAGCTGGCTGAAGATGGCTATTCTGGAGTTGAAGTCCGAGTCACACCAACCAGGACAGAAATCATTATCTTAGCCACCAGGTAAAAATTCACTTAACTAGCCATTGCCTGTAATTGTTGTATATACTAAAGTGATTTATTGTGTATAAACTTGAGGGGACAGATGTCAGGAATCTGGCCTTGGTGAAAGTAGTTGTTTTTAAAAAGTTGTTTCAAAGTTTTATCATAGTTCCTGTAATCTAAATTTCATACTTTGTGGCAGATGAATGAGATTTTGCTACTATCTTAAAAGCGAGATTTAAAGTTATACCTAGGATTTTGTGAGAATCATGAATTGTCCCATTCTCTCATCCCAGGACGCAGAATGTTCTTGGTGAGAAGGGACGAAGGATCCGAGAACTGACTGCTGTAGTTCAGAAGAGATTTGGCTTTCCTGAAGGCAGTGTAGAGGTGAGTAGTCCTAGATTTTGTCAGAGATCATTGTGGATTTGGAAGTGGCTCCTTTGAATGGGACTTCTAAAGGCCCTTGACATAACCTTGGACATTTTAATTGTTTCTTCATAGCAGTGAGGTAAGGATGGATTGGTATTTTGTTGAAATTCTTTGAAGTAGTGGGCCTAATTTTTGTAAGCCTGTTCAATTCCTGTTTGAGGATTTTACATAGAACCAGTTGGCTACCGCACCGGTGTATAGCTGTAGCAGTACCTGGGGTGAGTAGTTTAGGCTGTGTCAGTTACTGTGTGCCACGTAATATGCTTGTGATGATTGCGCTGGATATTGAAAAGAGTGGTAAAGGTTAACAGATGTGCCTTGGTTTCTTTAAAGCTTTATGCTGAAAAAGTGGCGACGAGAGGTCTGTGTGCCATTGCCCAGGCAGAATCTCTGCGTTACAAACTCCTAGGAGGGCTTGCTGTGCGGAGGTAAGTGTTCTGAGACTTGACGGTTACACATTTTTTTGTGTGGAACAAAATAAATGGTGTGTCTACCAAGTTGTTAATTTGGCAAATAGATGCTTCTTGGCAAAATTATCTGTTCTCTGAGGTTTATAACAATAAGATACTGTGCCTGCTGAATTGATAGACTAACAAGACTAATGAAAAAGATAAAAACAAAGTGATCAGTGTTACAATGGAAAAATGTTCTGGGTACTTGAGAGTAGAATAAAAAACTGCAGGCCTCCTTAGATTTTAGAAAGGTCCCTGTGGTGAATTGGCAGTAGGAATACTTCAGCTCGTTACTGGGCTTGTGTTACTGTATCTATAGGCAGTAGACCTGCTTTAGCTCTTGTGGGATATCACAAAATTTAAAACAGAACAAGTTAAAAATTGTTCAGATGCATTCACTTGTGTTGAGCTGTAGGAAGGTTGTCTTGGTGTAGGGGTGAATAGTGTAAGCAAGGACATGTAAAAAAGGCTGCTGACCTTGAGTGCTGGTGCCATTACCTAAAACAGTGATACTCAAAAGTTTAGCAAGGTCCCATGTTCAATCCCTGAAAAAAAAAAAGTTTGTCTTCAGGGGCTAGCATCACTGCCATCACCTAAACTGTTTCTGCCCAAAACCCATTGAATGGGAAACTAGAGATGTGGCCCAACAGTCTGATTTTTGCACTCAAAACTAGTTTGATTTAGAAATTGTGAGACCTGAGAAAATTGGTAAACTTCTGGCCCTTGAGTCATTATACCACCTCTCTAGTTGTAAAGTTTGAATTAAATGAGAATGTCAAAGGGCAGGGAGGTGGTTAGCTATCCAGTTGATAACTTCCAGGATGTAAACTAATAAATGAGTTGGGTGATGGAGTATGATGCTTTAAACATTAGCAGCTATGTAGGCCTAAATGTTTTCCCAGCACTCTTTGTTGTTTTTGTTTGTTTTGTTTTGTTTTGTTTTGTTTGAGACAGGGTCTCACTGTGTAGTTGAGACTGACCTGGAACTCACTATGTAGCCCAGGCTGGTCTTGAACTCACAGTGATTCTCCTGCCTCAGCCTCCCAAGTACTGGGATTACAGGCGTGCACCACCACTTTTAAGGTAATGGGGATCCTAGGAGTCAGGGGTTTTTGTTTGTTTGTTTTTATGTTTTGTTTTGTATTTAACAGGAGATCTAACTCAAGGCCTTGTGCTTGCCAGGCAGACACTGCACCACTGAGATACATCCCTGGCCATTGTTTTTTTATTACTTTAACTTTTTGAGTGATTATTTTTGGGGTTTGGTTTTTTTGGTTTGTTTTTAAGACAAGGTCTTGCCATGTAGTCCAGGCTGGCCTTTAATTCCCTGTGTAGCCCAGGCTAGCCTTGAATTTATGGTGATCTTCCTGTCTCAGGCTCCTGAGTGCTGGGATTATGGGTGTGCACTACATCACCTGGCTTTCTGAGGTGATTCTGATAGGCAGCCAAGGTTGGGAAACACTTGATTAGGAGGAACTTGGCATCATTTCCTTGGAGAAATTAGTTTAAATTTGAGTAGGACAGGGATAGAAGAGAATTGCCATTTCTTGAGCACAAGTCTGATCAAGTTGGTACTCACTAAGGGATCGCTGAAAACTGAAAACCAGGTATTATTTTTGTTCTTAAGCTTGGGGAATAACACAGGTGGATCCTTTATTCTAAAGGGCCTGCTATGGTGTGCTGCGATTCATCATGGAGAGTGGAGCCAAAGGCTGTGAGGTTGTGGTGTCTGGAAAACTCCGAGGACAGAGGGCTAAGTCCATGAAATTTGTGGATGGCCTGATGATCCACAGCGGGGACCCTGTTAACTACTATGTTGACACTGCCGTGCGCCATGTGCTGCTCAGACAGGGTGAGCATCTGGGAATGCTTGGGGTGGAGGACATTAACAGTTAGTTGTGGTTTTCCATAAGTACGTCAGTGTTTGGAGAAATGTACCTCGGAAGTAGCTAAGCATGTTTGCATTGCTTGGATTTATTGATTGAGCTGCATGGGCAAGAAGTTTGTTGAGATAGATTGATGGATGGCTTGCCCTTGCTTTAGCCATCTGTGTACCCTTCGGTGATGACATGATGACGAGTCAGAAAGGTCACGTCTTGCTCTTGGTCCTTGTCAGTGCCATGTTCTGTGGTGCTGCGCGTGGGTTCCTTTTGCAAAGGTGTCCTGCTTATTGATTGATTTAGAGGCATTTGTCTGAGAAGGGACCAGATCCAGTAGTGCTCTGGTAAACTACTGTTCTCTTCATCCTCTTGTGTGGAGCAGCTGATGAAACCCCTGCTATGTCCTAACTGTCTTCTAGGTGTGCTGGGTATCAAAGTAAAGATCATGCTACCCTGGGATCCAAGTGGTAAGATTGGCCCCAAGAAGCCTCTGCCTGACCATGTGAGCATTGTGGAACCCAAAGATGAGATCCTGCCCACCACTCCTATCTCTGAACAGAAGGGTGGGAAGCCAGAGCCACCTGCCATGCCCCAGCCAGTCCCTACAGCATAACAGGTTTGTCTACAGGAGTTGTTTCTTTTTACTTTGTTAATGCTGGGATTCCATGCCGCTAATAAGTGCTTGGTGGTGAATAAAACTGGATTCCACTTGCTTTACACAGGAAAATACAAGTTGGAATTGAGGCCCATGATTCTTTTGCTTGCCTTTGTACTAACGTCTTTTGGGCAGGGGGGTCCTTTTACTCTGTTTAAAATCATTTTCCTTTGTCACCTTTCCTTAATTTGTTCAGACTTTCAGGCCACTCTTGCTAGTTATTATTCAGTCCTTTTGTATGTAGCTCCCTTGAAACAGTGAAACCAAGCCTCCAGTACCCAATACATCTGAGGTTGTTGGTTTGGTTCTCTATTGTATTTTATTAATCTTACATGGATCCCAAGAGGGATTGTATATGTATCCATTGTTATATGAACGATCTTGATACTCAGGTGAAGTTTCTCTTACTGTTGTGTTTTATTTGGTTTTAGGACATCCTTGGCAGCAGTATCTGAAAATGGAGGCTGCTGTGTAAAGACATTTAATAAATCTTGTAAAAAGACATAAGGCGTATTTGGACTATCTCTTCGGTGTTGAATATGTGTTTTGTTGGCCTTTGCAGCATTGCTTACCCACTTTGTTTAAAATAAACTTATGATATTTGCAAGGGCCAGAAATGGAAGGCCCGAGCAGAGAAAACCAGAAAAATACCTGTGGGATGGTGAAGGCTGATGGTAAGGTAGCACATCAGTTTTCCTGAAGTTCAGAATTAATAGGATTAGAAGAGGGATTTGGTTTTGGTGGCTGAGGATTGAGCCCATTGCTCTGTTCTGAGCTGCAGTCCCACCCTGTGTAAGGATATGTTTGTTTTTAATCCTTAACATCCCTCAAGTATAAAGGGAATATGCCTGTCTTATTGTGCTTAAAGTTGTTATTAGTATCTACATTCCTAAGCCTATAATATTAGCCATTATGCTCTGGAAAACTTTTTTTGGTGGGGGGAAACTTTTTTGGTTTTTTGGGAATCAAACTTCAGGCCCTTGAGTTCGTAAGGCAGGCAGTGGTCTGGAGAACTTAACGGCAGTGTAAATCACCTAGTTTAGTAGAGCACACCTGTAATCCTTGAACTCAGGAGGCTGAGGCAGGAGGATCCCCACAAATGCAAGGCCAGCCTGAATTACAAGACAAGACCCTGTCTCAAAAGCAAATTAATCTAGTTTTTTGTTTTTTGGTTTTTTTTTTTCTGCCATAATG